CGCACCTGCAGATGCCTTTGGTCAGTCTCCAGCTCACCTGGCTGCCGGTGGCGGTGAAGCTTTTTTCCTACTTTGGCAACTGCAGACAGGAGCAAATTTGAACCAACAGGTAAAAAATACATGTTTTGTTTCTCCCACTTCTAATCTGGCATGTCAGTAAATCCAATGTATATTATTTACTTTTTTTTTAATCTAGGAGAGGTTTTATATCCAGTTGTATTATATGTGGTATCTGAGGTTGCTTATTTTAGAGTAACTTAATTCTAGCATGAACCAGAAATCCTATCTATATTGCATCAGCAATTCCATTTGCTAGATATAATACAGTTTTCACACTTAGTGAAGCATGCAATGTAAAAAAAAAAAACAAAAAACAAACCCTTAATTCTCTCACACAAATGGGTATTCCTTTTTCCTCTGAATTTTTGCCTCTACCTCCAGTAAACATAAGGATTTTTTTCCTCAAGCTGCAAAGTTTCATTTGCTTATACTTCTGAGCTGGTAGCAGCAAGTTGGTCACAGCAGTCCTGGAAATCACAGTGCTGAAAGATGCTGTTAACCAGTCTACAGAGTGTATTCTGTGTAAATAATATTTTAGAAGATAAAGGTTTGTCCTGGCTTTGCTAGGATAGAGTTAATTTTCTTCTTAGTAGCTACAATAGCTGTGTTTTAGTTTCAGTGTAAGAGTTGTTATAAGAAGAATGTTGATAAAGTACTAATGTTATTAGTTGCTGCTGGAGCTCAAGGCCACCGTGTTTGGCTGGTTCACAGCTGCATTAGGACTGGGAGGGGGAAGTGTAGTACGTAGCAAAACCCAGAACTGGCATTTGGATGTGCCAATGAAATATTCCATATCATATCACATCACGTCAGTGTATAAACCAGGGCTCACTAGAAAACAGGGGTATTCTCTCGGGGATCACTCGGGCTCACTCTTCCAGGGTTTTTGGTTTTGGGACTGTCTCTGCTCCAGTATCGCTGGCTGGCACAGGCTGGGCACTGGTTGGCGGGGGGGGAGCCATGGCACTGTGCATCACTCATTTGTATATTCTGTTATCACTGTTGTTATCATTATAATTTTATTTTAATTAGTAAATAGTTTTTATCTCAACCCATGAGTTTCCTTGCACTTTTCCTTCCAATTCTCTCCCCTACTCCCTGGGCAAGGGGGAGAGAGCAGGCTGTGTTTGGCTGCAAGTCAAAGGGGTGAATCCACCCAAACCACCACAAGGTTAAACATTTAGTATTGCATGGGACAGTTTCTACTCTGCTGTGATGAATACACTAAACATTTCATGGAAGTTATTCAGTACACTTTAATCTCTCAACTCACAACAAAATGGTATGCAGAGCAACGCTCTGTTAACAGTCACGCTGGAGAACAAGACAGCTTCGTCCTATTCCCCTTCCTTCAAATGACTGCTATCTATAAATCGTGTTTTTAGGATTGCCTTGGAGAAGCCCCAATTCATAAAGCAGCAAAAGTTGGGAGTTTGGAATGTCTTGCTCTCCTTGTTGCTGGTGATGCCAAAATTGAGTAAGTTGAGCTACATTCTACATTTGGTCATTTCAGGAACAGTATCAAAGGATAGGTGTATTGTACACAGTATTTTTTTCTTGTTTAGACTGTGCATGCTAGGAGTGTAAATGCAACGTGACTGCAGTCATGAGAGCAGTATTAAAAGCTGCCAAACGTACCCCAGTAACATAGAGCATATGCTGTTGTTTAGTTCCATGTTGAAGAGCACCATAGTAACTGCCAAGAGATTATTCCTGATCATAGGTTCTCCTTGTTAGTTTTCCATTCTGACCAAAGCTGTGCTCACCCTCCTCCTGCCTTTGATACGCTAAGCCAGTCACAGTCTGGTGACAAATTTATTTTAAAATAATTAGTCCTTGTTACATTTAGTACCAGTCCTCTGTATTAGCAGATTCCCATGCTACCCTCGACAAGCCACCTCAGTACTGATTCTTTATGCTTCTGTCTGAAGTTACCACTTAGTTAATCTTGACCAGGGGCTTGCTCATAGTAGATATTCCCATTTAACTGAATGGTTGTTGTTAATTCTACGTTTCAGCTTGTGCAACAACAGTGGACAAACAGCAGCAGACCTCGCGCTGGCTTATGGCTTTCTGGAATGTGCCAAGTTCCTCACAACCATTCAGCACACTCGGACAATGAAACTGAGAGCACAGTCTGGCTACGCGCTAAGTGACAGAGGTGGCTTTCTGAGAGAGGATCCAGCTGCACAGCAACACAAGAGTGAAAGTAGCAGATCCATAAGCAGGAAGAGGAGAAGACCAGATAGCTTGTAACACCATTGGCTTGCCACAATCCAGAGCTGGGGTTTTTGTTTTATTTTTTTTAATGCTTTAGGCGTTTAAGTACATAAATTTGGTGTTAGATGCATAGCAGTTGGAGTTAGAAGCCTGCTAGTAAGGATGAACTTGCATAGGTTATTGAAGGTTAGGGTCCTGTAAGAAATGGATAGTATATGGGGAATGCCACTGAACAGGCTACTTTGCCATGGGGGAAATAAAAAAAGAAATGGTAGGTACTTTTACTGATGGAGTAGCTAACAAAGACAGCATCTTTACTAATATCACAGGTGTATCCTCATGTTCTGATGGCATTAGATACAGACTTATTCTTGTTCATTCATATGACAGATCTTGTTTCCTAGCTGACAACAGCAGCAGTTTGTAATCCCAAAATGAAATCAAGGGGAATCCGAAGTCTGAGGAAACATGACTGGGTTATGCACTGAGCAGACAGATGTATGTGCTGGTACATTATCGCCTTCTGAGAAGGAGGAAAGCTCATTCACTTTTACTTCTTACAGAAGACTTTTTTCCTAGAATAGTTGAATTCACACAGCTATAAATAAATGAGCATACTCCCACTTTTTTCCCTGTGTAAATATGAGAACAAATTTCATAAAATTCAGTATGTATGGCCATTTTTCTCCCACGGCCTTTGAACAGGTTCATAGTGCACAATACAGCTACATGGAAGCTGAAAGGTTCATCTTTTTGGCAAGAAAGAATTCCATAAAATACAAGCATTGGGCATTTAATCTGTGAAGATTTTAGCATAATAAAAAAATGCTATATAAACATAAAGTTTATAAAGCCAAAAGAGTATTAGTTACTTAATAAATGTATTTGTAGGAAATACAGTTCACAGGAGATAACTCGGTGGATTTTTTAGGTTTCATTTAAAAAAAAAAATCTTAATTTAAATTACTCAAGCAACATTTCTATTTCAGCTGGGTTTTGACTGACTTAAAGCATTATTCTGATAAATAACAAGACAGTTCTATCTAGATCAGGTAGTAGTCTGGTTTAGCATGTTCCAGCATAAGAGTGCAATTTAAATAGTTTGTGGTCGTTGAGGTAGGCACAGATTATAATAGGCATCCTTGTTCCAAAACTCTGGGCCCTTCCATCCACACCAGCCCTGTCCAAGAAAAAGCAAGATAGCATTTACATCTGCTGCAAATTTTCAGGAAGCTCTCTACATGCCTGGAAGCACATTAACAGAAAACACTTTGCAGAGTCTCTCTCTCTTCCTCCTTCCCCATTCCAGCTCAGTTCCTGAAGAGCAGCATCTCCTTTCCTACCCCCCCACTTCCCACTGCTCTCTGCTGCTGCTTCTGTTTCACAGCCAGAGCTGTTGATGTCAGGTGTGCCTGCTCTTGATCATGATTTAGCAGAAAGAGCCTAACAAAGCTCTTAAGTTTGAAGAGTACCACATAATGATATGAGGAGGTTTTTGAAGAAAAGAGCTACAAACTTAGAGTGCACATCATTCCCCCTCTACCACTTTTGATGAAGAAAGGGAGTTTTGCATCTCTTTTATCCTCCAGGACCATTCCTGAACATCTTGTAGCTGTAGCAGCCTTTGGTTCTACATGTTCTTTGGAAATGGATTCTTTCTGTTTTCATCTCAAGCTTTGATCATTATGGGACTAGAAAAATGTTTCTTCAACAGCTTTTCTAGTTGGGCTCAACCCAAGGATATCAAATAAAGACATGAAATAGAAGTTGCTATTTGCAACTCAATATGAAGAACAGAAAAGAAATTGATTATTTAACACCTATAGGATGATTTAGCCACTTTCACAGTTTAAGTTTCTGATACTATGTTTACTGTTTTGTAATGTGCTGTGTCATCTATTTGAGCAGCTTTAAATACAGAAATAATGTTACATACCCTTTAGTTCTTTAGAGATTCCCACATTTTCAAAACAGGTCAGTACTTGCCCTTTAAACTTATGTCAAGGCCTGATTTGAGAGTGACTAGTGTTTTGTTTTGTTTTTTTAATTAAGTAAATGGTTCTCTTCTCTGCTTCAGTAACAGCATTTTACAGGCTGAACAGATTTTTCTGTTCCTTTCGACACATTTATTTTATGCACTGCTGGGTAAAAGGGAAGATGGTTTCAAAGAAAGTGCTGGTAGACAGCCAGCTGAACATGAGCCAGCAGGGTGCCCAGGTGGCCAAGAAGACCAACAGCATCCTGGCCTGTATCAGAAACAGTGTGGCCAGCAGGAGTAGGGAGGTAATCATGCCCCTGTACTTGGCGCTGGTGAGGCTGCACCTTGAGTACTGTGTTCAGTTTTGGTCCCCTCACTACAGGAAGGACATTGAGATGCTGGAGCACATCCAGAGAAGGGCAATGAAGCTGCTGAAGGGTCTGGAGAACAAGTCTTGTGAGGAGTGGCTTAGTGGTTTAGTCTCAAGAAAAGGAGGCTCAGGGAAGACTTTATTGCTCTCTTCAGCTACCTGAAAGGAGACTCTAGTGAGGTGGGTGTTGGTCTCTTCTCTCAAGTAGCTAGAGATAGGATAAGAAGAAATAGCAAGTTGTACCAGGGGAGGTTTAGATTGGATATCAGGAAAAAATTCTTCACTGAAAGTCTTATCAAGCATTGGAACAGGCTGCCCAGGGAAGTGGTGGAGTCACCATCCCTGGAGGTGTTCAAAAAACATGTAGACATGGCACTTCAGGACATGGTTTAGTGGCCATGGTGGTGTTGGGTGGACAGTTGGACTTCATGATCTTAGAGGTCTTTTCCAACCTCAATGATTCTATGATTCTAAAGAACATTTCTTTGTACTGTAACAACTTGAAGTAGTTGTTGAGCCAGTATATCTTCTCCAAAGACACTAAGTTTCAGAAACTAACAGCAAGTAGCATAGATGGAGGTTAACTGGGATCAGCAGTTCCTCCATAGGGAATGGAAAAGCCATGGAACAGCCAATTTGTGTTTGGCTGTACGTTATTTAACGCCAAAATATATGTATACGCGTATGTGTGTATATATATGCGCAGGTGCATCAAGCCTCACCTTTTCCAAAATAACATGCAAGTCTTCTCCTCCAGTGTAATGTGGGTCCAGAATCAAATATTTTATGTGTCCTGTAAACTCATTCCAAGCCACTCCCAGTATCGTGTGAGCCAAAACACCTCCACCTAAAACAGGAGGAACACAGATTACTAAAAATATTTCACTGAGATTGGTTAAATGTGCAAGTTTACTGTAAAAGTACATCAACACTTTCTATTAACAGATTAGCTTGGTTATCAAAATGATTCTGAAGCTGTCCTACATAAGATTCTTCACGTTATTAAACAACATATTTTCACTACAAACTAAGGAAGATTACTTATTTTACTTTACTTACTACAACTAGAGAATTTACTTTCCAAATTTCTTCCATGTCAGCAAGGCAGGTTAAATCCTCAGCACTTCCACCAGATGAAGTCAAGAATATTTCAAACATCTGTTTTGCTCACTTTTTCTTTAAAGAAACTTAACTGTAGAAAAGGAATCTGGAAAACTTCCTACTGTAAAAGGACTAAAATTAGAACAGAAATCAGAATTTCTGGATAAGGGTTATCTGCTGCTTTCTATTAAGTTCCATCAATGGATATTAGGGGCAGAGTCGTAATTTCCAATTTCCCTTCCTCTAGCCTGCCAACAGGAAAAGGGGATGTTCTGATGAGCTGGCCACAGGTAAACTCTTGCATTTTCTTTCAGATAGCACAAGGAGTTTACACCCTTGGGATACTGTAGTAATGACCGCACACAACACACAGGAATTGCAAAAACCCCAAGAGAACACAAGCAAAAAAACCCGCAAAACAACGTAAAACCCACCCCAAAAAGCCAACCTCCCCTACCCCCTCAACAACAAGAAACATTAAACCGATCCACAAGAGAGCATTATGGGGAAGGATAAGTTACAGACTAAAAGATTTTTCAATATAGGATTCTAAATTCTTGACATTTAGACAAAAAGGCTGCAGAAATGCCAAGAATATTTCATACAAAAATCTGGACTTCTGGCACCTCTAATTTGAGAGAATAACTGTCTTTATGGAGTGTCAAATACAGGTTGCAAAAATGGCTAAAATTAAAGTTTTATTAAAGCTGAAAATGGTATTTTCAATATTCTTTGCTTTCTAAAACATAGCTGTCTTGGAAATAGCTCAATTAAAGTTACAGCGTTCTTATGAACAGCATCTTATATTACCAGCATTTCAGATTAAAACTGGTCTTAAAAAGAATTTGGATAACCACCTTCTCTTGAAAGCCAGATAAGCACTGCTATCCTGTGATGGGAAGTTCTGGGGAACTGTGTGAACTTCTGCTCCTCTAGAGAGCAGCTCTCGAGTTCTGACTTCAAGAGCAGTTTTTAAGAACACCATTTAGACTGACTATTGTCACCAGGTTGAATACTCAGACTGGGAGAAATACTGAGTGAAAAGATACTAGCCACACTAAATCGTATCGTTTTCCAGGCTCCCCTGGGAAAAGCATAATTTTTAATTAATCTAGAGTCTTCATTAACTCTCGTACAGTAAACTGAATGAGCTGTAACTAAAATGAAACTCAGCACAGGGAGACCATGCACTTTCACTGGCATTCTTCGATACTCGAGCACTTACCAATCATAACTGGAGTCCCTTCCGTCTTGAAATGATTAGCAAGCTCTCTTCCCTGCAACGCTAGTTCAGAACCCTGGCTAGGTAAGAAAAACAACAATACATTTGTCATCCTCACTAGGCTTGATTCTCCAGTTATCCATTATACTGGTTAACTGCAAAGGTAACTGATTAGAAAGTGGCTTAAGAGTTTTCTTGTGTAAACATCCTGGGACAATCTGGAAAAAAAAAATAAAAAAAATCATCCACCTTTTTAATGCAGCTCACAGATTCTGGTTGGACCCATGAATGTGCTATAAGCCTAGTTGCCACTGGAGCACCCAGAGTCACCCAGCTTCTAAAACGAGTCTGCTGCTTGCCTCCCACAGTGGGGACAGCTGGTGAGCCCCAGTGCTCCCTCCAGGCGGTTGACAAACAGACTGGCTACATCTGTCAGCAAGGGGGAGTCTGAAGTAACAGAGCTTCATCAGAAGCATAACAAAAATAAGGTGTTACTTGCAGAACTCATGCCCAAGCTGGCTTTAAAAAAATCAAATCTTAAATAACAATAGTAATCTGTTCAAAGCAACACTGAACTTCGCTTTGTTATAATCTGCCTGCTTTCCTTTCCAACTACGAGGAGCAGCCACAACAACAGAAGTCTGTGTGGAAAGGAAAGGCACACAGAACACATGCACGTACTCCAGGATTCGGAGCTGAAGACATTTGTCCAACAGAGGCTCATATTCCCCTTAGAAGACTGAAAGTGCTCCTACGAGTGGTGACAGAAGCTAGGCAAGGAAATTAATACAGATATTTTTAATGTCTTTGCATTTCTTCATATAATGGTCAACCTTTTGAAAACACAAAGAAAGCCTCTGTGCCTGCTTCTCAAGTTCCTGGAGAGACTGATTAAATGCAGACAGAATACAAAACTGGAACTCTGGGAAACGGTGTATTTACAATAATGGATTTGGTACCAGTGTTGCTGGTGCAGCTGTGAAGTCTTATTTCCTTACAGAGTAAGAGGTGCTGGCTGGAAATAAGCCCAAGACAAAAATGCTATCCACTGCCAGTGACCAGCTGAAAAAGCTACATGACATTTCTCCTTCTCAGCATGGGAGTGATATTGGCTTTTCATAATCCTGAAAAACACTGGTGCTCCCTTTCAGCAGCACTATGAGCAATTCTACCCAGTTCACAAAGGAATCTGTTCTATATTCTTATGTGCAGGAATAAAAACCTTCATACTGGCAAGGCCTGTCACAGCTGCTATAAATAAGAGGTGGATCATCTGCAAATGTAAGCTCTGGAACAAAAAAGATTAAAATTGGCAGTATAAAGCTTTACAAAATACTGAAGAACTGAACTATTTTCCTACTGCTAAGAATCACCATCACCATGGTCACATGCTCTTTTTAGAATAGCTACAGCAGAATTTGCTCCAAATAAACATAACTGATGAGTAGCATTTTGTTTGACTAGAGTTTTCATACATCCTAAGTTAGTATATATTTTTTATTTTGTTATTGTATGTATCACAAAATGCTGAGGGATTTATTAGTCCGCTTAGTGCTGCCTAAATGATGAAAACCCAGTAATTTTACTTCTGAGAAGTGCTGAACATTATTCTTTTTCTCCCAAATATATTTGCGGGGTTCTTTATTGTGTATGAGAATGTCAGATTGTCAGAACAGAAACAAATCCCTTGATTTATCTGTTGCACAAATGCAGAAAAGAGAACACTATTTCCAGGCTGCTCAGCAATTTGCCTGATGGGTTAGCTCTGTGGACAAAGTAATAATTTACTGTCAGTGTGCATTCAGTTCATTGTGGCCGCCACACTGTGTTCCTGCTTCAAAAATTATGTTTGTGGTGCAAAGGAACAGGCTGAATTCCACATCAATTTGCATATTGTTAAGCCATTTATAGCAACTGCAGACTCGAGCCCCGAGAACACAAGAAATTTAGCAACACTTTCATTTGTAAGCGCTTGGCACAACCAAAGGCAGCAATAGAGGTTTTATGAACAAGGAACCCTTAAAAGATTTATTACCTCTTTTATTATCCCATGTATTGTAATGGTAATTTGCATTTTAAGACATTCAGTCTTTTTAGTAAATCCTAAAGCTGAGCTATTAAACAGATATTGATTCTTACCTGACAAATAATATTTTTGATGTTATTCCAAAAAGCTGATTCAAAACAAGCTGTACCTCAATTGAGCCAATCCACTGCCGTGACCCAACAAAGGCTGCAGGCTTGTCTCCGGCATCAACCAGTGCCTTTGCAATGTCAAGATGGAGAAGAAAAACAAACGTCAACAACAGAGTAGGCAACTCCACCACTTTCTGTGAACAAAGCTGGTTTTTATATATATATATATATATATATGGGAACATGTTTTGAAGCTAGCCAGTCAAAAGCAGACAAATGGATGTTCAATTCATTCATTGTGGTTCTGTTTTGGAAATGTCACTTGAACACTAATACAGAACAGTGCCTATAAGCACAGAATATAACCCCAGGTCCATCTAATAATGGAGTGCATCATTCATACTGCAGAATCCACTTCACAGACTGAAGTACCTGGATTCCCACTCAAAGCATCTCAGAAAAGGATCCATAAAATAGCGCCCTGAGGAAGAGGTCACTGAAATACACCAAAGGTGGTTGTTTATTTTAAACTCTTCTCCATTCTGAGGCTTCTATGTTACATGAAACACTCGAGAGGGGCCTTTTTCACTTAGGATACAAAGCCCACAAAGTCTCCTGAAGGCTTCTGCCCTCTTCTATATGTCTAAAAATACTTCAGCAGTGTATGGATTTCAGTTGCTTTTAGGTTTAGCTATGGACTGAGAAACGTTCAGGAAACACAGTTTTAACTTCAGTGCTTGCATCCCTGTTAAGTATGATCAAAGATGTTTTATGGGCTGAACCAAACTTTGCTAAAAATGTTCAGTAAATGAATATAATGCAAAGAACTATTTTTAGAAGACTTTGGATAATTGCAGTATTTCTTTCTTGCTAGGCATACAATATTAGCTACCCAAACCTACAGTTTTTCTTCAGTGCTGTTAACAGAAATGAACATATTCAGGTATGCATTTGAATTCACAATAGAAAAAGAAGTGAAGGAGAGTTCAAAGAAACAGGAAAAGCCCACTACTCTCTAAGGCAAAGTTGCAAAATAAAGCAGTAAATCAATGCACAGCATCTGGGGACTAATCCAGCTGTCAATGAATACAAGTCAGTATTAAAACTGATTTTAATATGACACACTGAGTTCTTTGTTTTCTATCATTTGTCAAAAACAGTGAAAATGTCATAATCTGAGCTTCTAATAGAACATTAATCCAAAGAAATATTTAGGAGACTATTTTAATGAGTCTTATTTGTACAGACAATGTCACCCGACAGTAATAGACATTTGGAGGCAGATCTCACATAATAAAACTTGTTAAAAATAGTAATTCAGAACAACTATAGTTCCATTTAAGAGAGAAATTAAAAATACTGCGTCCAGTTCTGGAGCCCCCAACATAAGAAAGACATGGACCAGTTAGAACTAGTCCAGAGAAGGGCCACGAGGATGATCTGAGGGCTGGAGCACCTCTCCTATGAGGACAGGCTGAAAGAGTTGGGGCTGCTCAGCCTGGAGAAGAGAAGGCTCCGGGGAGATCTTATAGCGGCCTTCCAGTACCTGAAGGGGCCTACAGGAAAGCTGGGGAGGGACTTTTCATAAGGACAACTAATGACAAAACAAGGGGAAATGGGTTTAAACTGAAAGAGGGGAGGTTTAGATTAGATATTAGGAAGAAGTTTTTCACTGTGAGGGTGGTCAGACACTGGAACAGGTTGCCCACGGAAGTTGTGGATGCCCCCTCCCTGGAAGTGTTTAAGGCCAGGTTGGATGAGGCTTTGAGCAACCTGATCTAGTGGAAGGTGTCCCTGCTGACGGCAGGGGGGTTGGAACTGGATGATCTTTAAGGTCCCTTCCAATCCAAACCATTCTATGATTCTATGAAGTATCACACAAGTCAGAAGTCTAATGAATTTGATATGTATAAATAATGTATACAAACGTTTCTAGACAAGTGTGCATAAAATAATTAATCTGCCTAAATGTTCCATACCTGTTGAATTTCCTTGTGTGTCGGTACAGGTGTATCAATGTAACCTTGGTGCTTGAACCAAGAACAGATTGTCTGCAAAGACCGATAGGCACAGCCCCAACCATTGTCATCGATCCGATCCTGCATATAGTGGTGATAACTGTATATACCATGTACTAAATAAACCTGCACAGAAAGAGAGAATACAAACGCATCTGGTCACACTTGCATCAATTTTCAGGTAAGTCCTATGACTTGTCACTTACACTGTACAAGCTTTCATGTGGAAATCGCGAATCTTTGAAAGAACTGAAGAGCTGTTACTCACACATGATTACTCCTCCTTTTTTTTGGTCTCCTAAACATCTCCATTCGTAGTTTTAGTTTCTTGTTCTGGTTCTGAGAAGCTTTCAAAATACATGCTAAAAATGTGTACATCCTTTTCCAAGAAAATGCAATTTCTTTGGGACAAATGTAGCTAAAGCAATGTCATTTTGTGCAGAGAAGCCCTTTTGCTTAAAAGGCCAGGTCTGTTAATTCACCCTCATCTATACGATATTGACTAAATTACTTCTTTTAACAACAAATCTCAAAATTAAAAAAATACTTTCTTACAAGTGTTTCAGTTTAAACTTACCATACCAGACTCTGTAGCAGGTGAATTAAGATGTAAATGTGGATTCCTCAGATATCCATCTTTATATGGTTCATCTGGAAAATGATAAGCATTTGCTCTCTTGAAATATGGTCTGTCACAGGGCAGATTTAATAACCCATGTAATTCCTACATGCAAGTTAGAATAAAAATAGAGTGCAATTAAAATTTCTGATTGAGAAACACATTATAACATGAACAATTTTAAGAGCATAGCTCAGTAAATTTAATTTTATTAATATATTTTATTTATTAATAAAATTTAATATATTAATATTCAGCATGTATGTTTACTACTAGATCTCACCTCCCAAAAGGAAACTCATGTAGGCTTACCTTCTGTCTAAAGGACTCACTATTGTATGCATTCCTGTTATCTAACGCCTGCCGCTGGAGCCCCATTCAAGATATCATGACTGACAAGTGTCTTATGGAAGTAGGTAAAACGCACCATAACAGAAAAGGATTACAGTTTTATCCATGTACTACTGTAGATATACACAGTCTGAATTATAATTTTAACTAATACTGAAGACATACAAATACCACGTACTGAGATAGTAAAGATACTGAGCTTGTGGTTGAAGCAGATTCGGTCTATTCTAAAAATCTCTTAAGCACTGTTTACAACACAGCAGTACCATTTAAAGAGATGTATTGTCTTATTTCACAGAGCTTAAGAGTGAAAGGAATGATGAGATCATCTGGGATGATGTGTGTAACACAGGTAATACATTTTACACAGATGACCCAACACTGACCCCATCTACATTAGCTACAGTCATGCTCAGCAATCAGTGGGTAAGAGTGCACAGAAAACAAGAGCAGGAAAGACTTAATGTGTCACCAGTGCCTGAGGCCTCTGCAAATGCAAGGAAGAGATTAGGTTTTATATACCCAACAATGCTTCACCTGGAAGATGGAAGATCCCCACAGCTTCTGCACCTCTAAGGTAGCAGAAGATTCCTTCCCCACCCTCAGTACATGTAACTGTGTGACCTGAACTGTGGTACCTGCCAGGTAAAACTCTCAATCTGAAAAGATGGCCACATCAGAACGTTTTCCCACCTCATCCATATTCCTTCTTCTAGATGTGCCAACCCAGGAGGCAAAAAACAAACAAAAGCTAGCTAAGGCTGGTCAGCTGTGAGCCACAAAAAGCAGCCCCCTCAAAACAAACAAACAAATCCAACAACACACAACCCCGAGAAAGAAACCAAAACAAAAAACCCCCAACCCTAATCGTTTCAGAACCCCTGTTAAAGCCTGAAAGTAGTAAGTGATACAAGTAATCTGATATCCTACTATGGAAGTTGAGAAATTCAAATAATACAGTACCAGAAGCATAATTTAGATAAAATCTATCTAAAACAAATGTTATCTAGTTTTGAAGTTTCTATCATTCCCTTGCAAAAAATGAGATCTGTCACATTTTATAGAATAACTTCTAAGTCAAGCTTCCACATTCAGTACACCGCTGCAGCTATAACAAAAATAAATTAAAAAAAACCAGCAGTATCTGTTAGTATTTATTCTATGGTGGTTAAATGAAAAACTTTACCACTGCTTCAGTTACAATAATAATGAATTAAAAAAAAAAAAAATCAGGTCCTGTCAGTATTAGTTGGCTTTACCTTTCTGTAACTTTCCAGTTGATCATCTGAAATACCTGTAGGATATGAGATCGTTACAAGGTGATTTTTTCCTGGTAACATGAAGTGAAATTGTTCTGGTACAACAATTGATGTTCCCTTCATATATTTCATGATACATCTTTCCATGTCAGTTAACTGCCTGTGAATTGCTTTCACTAGGAGATTCTGTACCCTGCAAAGTAAAAGGCAGAATATTTAAGAAATAGAACAGTGATGGTAGATCATTTTCTCTCACAGCTCTGACAGTTATACAATACTTATATTAGTATTTGCACCTGGTCTGATGAACTTGCTACTTCCATGCTTCCACTCTCACACAGGCAGAGACAGAACCTCACTCTGCTTTACTCAAAGCATGTCTGCACACAGAAACTACTCCCTAGTGATTCAACCCCAAAGTGCAGCTACCCTGGTCCAATATCACAAACACAGCCATTACAAGCATTTGCCAAAATAAAAGTTACATATATGACTATATGGGTTTTTTTTTTTGCATTTTATTCACCCCACTTAGCATCCTTCAGAAGTTAAATCCTATGGAAAAAAATGCAAGAAGAAAATACATTGGAAGACTCTTATGTTTTCCACCTTCACCCACCCAGCTGCAGCCCCTAACATAATACTGAGATTACAAAGACTCATCAAATACACTCCAACTCTCACTTTTATACACACTTACATACTTACCAGAATATTTATATTTTCCTGACTTTCTCAATTCCTTGCTAAGCAATGGTTATGAGTTATCAAACCTATCAGACACTGATAAACTGCATTTTTTGTAGATAGCAAAAGGATTGTGACTCAAGATTATTAAAGCTAACAGCCGTCTACAAGAGCTTTTATTATTTACATCATTAAATTCCATTACAAAAATACTATATGCTTCTTCATTAAACTGATTAATGATACAGCTTTACTTTGTTACTTCAAGAAAAAGCAGAAATAAAGCTGAAAAAATTGGAAGTCCAGGATAACACTTACTTTCCCCACGTTTCTTCAGGAGAAACAGCTATAACAACATCAACTGGTAATGTCATATTAATATAGTGGTGCTCCTTATTTTCCCTTTCAATGACTGGAGACAAAGCAGCAACTGAAGATGTCATTTCCAACATGAGGTCAATATTGACTATCTGCTGCTGCAGAAGATAAAGACACCAATAGTACATCTCCAACAACACACGCACCAAGAAGGCAAAAGTAAGATTACAGATATTTGGTATCAAACTCAGCAATTAAATACTTGGACTAAAAAAAGCTAGTAGTATTAAAGACAAGCTTCTACATGCTGATCTACTGTAGATGGATCTCTGCTTTCACGCTGAGTCTCAATGACTTTAAGGGGATTCTTTTAAGTCATGTCAGTCTCTGTTTGTGTACAGAAAAGCCTAGGGAGTGCAGGTCTAAAAACATTTAAAAGATAATGATAGGTTGTCTGATATAATTTATTAGTGTGGTGAGACACATACCGTATCTTGTAACTTCTTATCCTTTTTTTTGCCAAGCTTTCGTTTGGTCTCATCATCTTGATCAAATCTGCAGTATCAACAGAAAGAGAAATTTCTATAGTATGAAATTAATCTATTTTTTAAAATTATAATTTTAAACATACTCACTGTATAAATCGTTTTATCTCCTTACAAGCAGAATCATCGGTCAGCTCTGGAACACTGCTCATACCATTGTTAGGCCACACATAGACTGAACTGTGGCAAATTCTTAATACAAGAACATCTGAGGACAGTTTGTTTGCAAGATCACTGAAAACATATCCTAGTGCCTTTTTTGTTGATGCCTCTGAAACACAATAAGGATATAATTAGCCTAGAAAATTCCCTCACTTTTGTTATAGCTGCTGGGTGTACATTTAAAAAAAAAAAATACATGTTTTGACTTGGAATAAAAACATAAGTGCTGTTATGATAAGAAAAATGGTTATATAAACAAAAACTGAGGTAAGATTTCACTTAGAAGGCCTGTCTCAAACATTCACACTCATACCTGCCTGAACAAAAGTGTACTGTTTCTCTCAGATGCTGTCAAATATGAAGAGCTGAATGAATTACAGAAGAATAACCTACACTATAGTCGATTCTCACATCAATAACTCTTAACTAAGTTTACAGATGCAAATGAACTTCTGTGTACAGACAAACTTCTATGTATGGTTATATTTAGTCTTTTGAGTAAAGCCTGGAAAAATTCAATCTGAGTCACATATTTCTGACTTCATATCATTATTCAGAAATACAGACCAAAAATATACTAAGTTTTTTTGAAAAGCAGGGCCTACACTCCAGCTGCAGACCAAATTTTGGCCAACATTAACCCGTAACTGTAAGCCACACACTGGTCAGCCTAAATCTTTATTACTGGTATAGACAGCTGTCTTTCAGAGCTTGACTTGACTTTTTAAGTTTCACCCATTCCTTACAACCTGAACCAATACTGGATATGGCAGAACAACTTTTGCTCATTACCAGCATTGTTTTCCCCACTGAGGAGACTAAAAACAATTGCTCAGAATGCAACAAGTTACATAAAACCTAACAAGCTATCAAAGACTATGCTGAATGCCATTTCTTTAACACATTAACTTAGATTTGGCCTCTATTAGTTCACTTTTGCACTAGAAGTCTGGAAAAACTACAGTATCAGAAAAATCAAACAGAACTCAACATATTTAGCTAAATCTCCTACAATAGAAAAAGCTCACTGCCTTCAAAAGGAGTGGTCTGCCATATTTACACACTAACAGGTGCAAATACCATGTATTTGAACAATCTGTGTAGTTAAAATTCACTACACTGTAAACAAAGTCAAACAAATAGCCTTTCTCTGAGGCTGCAATTCACAAAAGAGTTTCTATTGACTAGGCCAACCTATTCAACACTTTCATTCCGCATCACAAACTGAAATGAGCCAAAGTCCTTTTCAAGGTTTGCTAGCAGTGAATTCAGAGTTTCTGGTAAAGACATGTTCTTTTAAAATGCAGAATGAGCTACAGGTGAGCTAAAGACACCCTCCTTCCACACTGTGCCCTATCAGTGTCCGCTGACAACCTTGAGCAGCTTTCTGATGTGAATGCCACGTTACTGTAAGAACGTGGGCCCAGAGGAGCCTCTTAATGCCATATGGTCTAACCCCTTGTTACCACATGGAATTGCAGTACCCAATCCTGCCTAAATTCAGTAGAGTAACTAGTTAGCTTGTTCATCTTCTCTACTGCTCTAGAAAGACTAGACCACAATCTCAAAACTGTATTATTAATATAATCCTGTCTAACCAAATTAACTGTCATGAAGCGATGCTCTCTTTACTTAGAATTCAAGGGTCCACTTTGGATTACAACTGAAAAGTTATCTCAACACCACATCCATAGGTAGGAAAAATATGTAAATAAAATGATCCAAGAAAGGCAATTTAAACTTTACTTCCAATTAAAATAAAAAACACACAATGGGAAAAGACTGTCAGAAAATTAATGGAGATTAAGTACAAAAATGTTATTCTTTTTCTTTACGGGTTTGGGAAGAAGCACTTAACATCTAGTGAAATGCCAAGAAAATAAACATTATAACTACTTAATTATTAAAAGGTTGGTCATATAAATGTTAAGAAATCTATTATGGTCTTACAGACACACCATCAGTAGTTGCTAGCTGAAATGCAAGATCCAAGCCTCCTCTTATTCTAAAGAGGATGTCCATAGCTTCTAGAATTACCTAAGGAGAAAAAAGAAGCGGTGAAAATGAACAGCTATTGCAATATGCTTTATCTCAAGTTACAATTGCCTGCTATTACACACAGTGTGCAAGCACACTGGTAATTACTGCAGCTGCTCAGGGCATGAAAGGCCAGTGAATAAACTGGGAAGTGTGTGGCACAGCAGCACACAGTTACCAGAGCTGGTACCTCAATTACATGAGTACTGCTACAAACACAGTCCTTAAAAGCACATTTCCTACCTAAATAAGAAAGTCTTAATTCTCTACTTTTACCATTTAGAAATATGTTGGGTATAATGTAATTGTTTCAATCCAAACATCGTGTTTCCCATCTTATGAGTCTTCTTCTAGTTCAAACAAACCAAGAACTGCTCTGAGCATTACAGCAGAAAGGTAATTAAGCACATCTGTAAGGGTGCATTCATCTTGGGTTAGGAAAGCACAGCTTCGGGAAAAGAGAAAAAAAAAGGGGGGGGGGCACATGCCCCCACTCTCTAGAACCCAGGCTGAGTTTCACATCTGACAGAAGAGCTGTTTATGTCAGCACAGAGACCACCCAACTGTTTCTTTCCCCTTTCAAAGTCCCTGTTCTGTGCCCCCCCCACTGTCTCACTGTAAACACTTTAACATGAACTTCATCAAAGATGAAGATTTTCCATCCAGATGGAAAAATCACCCTTTTATTGAAAGACTTTTGCAGCCAGAGCAATTCCCAGTCAAGTTCAACACATCACTACAAAAACTGCTGTGCCAGCACAGAGAGGAACGAAAGGTGACAGCCCAGAAGACTGTGGGTATTGCTCAATCTAACAGTTCACAAAAAGAACTGCTTCTCAGCCTTAATTACTCTTAAAAACCCCACCAAACACCTGTAAGAATAATGACACTAAGGCCCTTTGGAAAGACTTACCGCATAAGTGTTTGCTTGCAAAGCATGTGAAGCTCGCAGGTGTAATGCTATCATTGATTCACGAAATACAACAATCAAAACAGAGGACTCACTTTATTTCCATTAAAAGTATTCTAAGCAGAAATTTTGTACAAAAAGATACGCATGCCTGGTGAAAATACAACCACCTACACTTCCAGCTTTGGGAAAAGGGTTTTCAGTTTTCTGCGATTCTCGGGTGCCAAAGTTTACTCCAAAAAAAGTGAGATTGCAACGTTTAACATTTTGGTTCCCAAAATATAATCCTGAACTATTTCAGACAACACAGTTATTTACATTAAAAAGGTCTCGCGGTGTTGGATCCCCGAGTGCCAGCATGTGAAGAAAGCTGGCCTGAGCTGGCGTGCGAGATGGTTTTTATTTGAATTACTGCAGGGCAAGAATAACGCCGGTGAGCGGAAAGCAGAGCTGTGCCAGAGGAGCCCGAGAGGACCCGGCCTCCGACAGCGGCTGCTCAGGGATGGCGAGCTCTGCCGACAGCT